AAAAAAAAAAAAAATTGAAAAAAGTCAATAGTTTTTGAAGTAATGAGTGTTGTTTGATAAAAGAATCACCCTGTATGTTATTGTAGATTCGACGCGAAATAATCGAGATACATGGGACACTGAGTTTGAKACGAATCCTTGGAGACCAGAGGTCGAGTTTATTCTATTTTTAAATTTTTTCTTAAGACAAAACGGTATTGGTTTTCTAGTGAGTAGTGGTACACAATATTGACACACTCCATGGCACAAGAAATCAATGTCAAACACGGATCCACATGATTAATTACATAGGTACGTATGTCTGTGGTTGTTCAACAGATTTACACGCACACAAGAATGCGTGTAAGTGTTCTTTATTTGTATCTATATATTATTATGTAGGTAGGTACCAGCCACTATTTCGCGTTTCACCGCGGCATGAGACTTATCGCAGAATGTTAWTGCCTTATACGCTGAATAATATGCCTATTAAGCCGTACTTAGCACGCAATGACGTAATCGAATAAAACAAAACAAAACGTAATAGTACTATGTAGCTTTTGTATGTAGCTGACACTTACGTTTAAAGAACACGGTCGGATGACGTCTGCTGGAATCCGTGGTGCGAAGAGATTGCAACTCCACGTCGTATATTCGATATGCAAGATTGCTGTTTCGCAAAATCGAAATTCGCTTGAAATATCGTATTATACAGCGTAGGTATACATCACGGTTATACACAGTGCGTATACTGTATTATACGGACAACGGACATAAGGACATTTTCGAGTAGGTATATATTATGTTATTGCAGTTGATATAATAACTTTTATTGTTTTATTTAATACACTTAATCAATGGTGATAATAAATAATAATATAATACTTAGTTATATCGGAGAATATTACACCGAAGTAGTATAACCCATTACTATCAAATTTCGCAAATATGCATCATATATTATGTCTTTTATAGATTTAAATTGCACTGTTATTAACTAGGTATATGATAATTATTATAATTTATATACTGAAGTTGAAGTTTGATCATTGCTATTTAGTACGTTTTCAATTTACTTTAATTTGTAATAATTATAGTTTATAGTATTTAAATACTATATTATCTTATTTATATCATTGATATTCAATCTATAATAATTTATCACTACGTCATATTATATTCCAGGTCAAGTAAAAATTTAATATGTATACATACATTTTCTTGAAGCGAATACTATTCGAAATTACTTACCTGTTTTACAAACATACATATATAATATATATATATATATATATAATATATTATTGAGTGTGTTTCATTTTTTTACAGTCATTCATCTTTCGATTTCTTGCATAATCATCTAATTGGGATCTTTAATTGCACCTATATCATAGCTACATTATTAGTATGGTAATAAGGAATTTTTCTTCACAAATCAATGTCCAATTTCTCCAACCAGACCACCGAGGTGTCATTGTAAGGAAGTCTTTCGGGTTATATTCTTCTTTTTTATTTTATTCCGATTTCTCTATACTCTCGATAATGTTGCTGTTATGCTGTACTGTGTTATGTATGTCATACGAATAAATAAATTAATATGGTTTGTTTCGTATTATACGATATTATGATTTATGTTAAATCGTAAATGGAGTCTCGYGGGCCGTGGCAAGATATGTTTTATTAGAATATTTTTTTAGCTATCAACAGTTATCGCGAGTAATGACTATGGATCAGTGTCGGGGAGGGGGAGGAGAATCAACTCACCTGGAACAACGGCGGCGCCCATTTGCTTGCTGCTCCTGGCCAAGGTGAGCGCGATCAGCGCGCAGTCGAACAGAGGTTTGGTCAGGTGCGAGTACAAGTGCGCCACGGACGACGTGAACGCCGTAATGTCGTCCGTTAGTCGGTGGTCTGCGTTCTCGATCCGGCCGTCCATGTTGCTCACCCTATAGTAAGTCTGGTCCTTGAAGTACATACCGTACGCGTGGTTGACCAGTCGAGTYCTGTAAACCAACAGAAGCCATTGTCAAAACTCGTATATTGAAGTGCACATATACATGAATAATAATATGCTAAAAAACTGTAAGATGATACAATACAATATACCGCCATAGATTTATATTTTAGAAAATAAGTAGCATGTGCACCCCATAGATAAAATTGTACATCCATGAATTGTAGGTTAGATTAAGGTTAGGTATATGCGTGATCGAAGAGCATACGGTAGTTATCAAAATAAGGTTGAACACAATAATAATTAAGGTTATGTGGTATCATCACCACTGAGAATATTAAATAATGATAATAATGATAATGTAGAATGTAACTTTTAAAACCACTAAATATGATGAAATATATTATTATTATAATTATTACAAAATTAATAAAATAAATAAATATATAATGTTRAAATTGGTTGAATTCRAAATTGATGGGATAACAAATTGTTAAAATGTTTTTCTTTATTCGTATTATACCTGAACACTATGCCACTATGGTAAGTGGTAACTATAGTATAAACTCTTCTTACACACTATATAGATGTACCGTGTATATTATAATGAATAGTATTATGCCCTATCCATTAATAATATACATGATAGATTTATGTGACTGAGACAGTAATAAACAAATTTTTCTAAGCTTATAATAATATGACTAATATACCTAAGTATCTTCAACTTTTAAAACTGAAACCTACACCTCTACGATCATTCCTTAGAAATTACGCTAAGTTTACAGTGGATCTAGTTATATATTTTTGGTAGTATACACCAATAAATAATGCCGATATATTTTAGTAATATACGCTGGTATACCTATAATAATAATCTCCGTCAACTGTGTATAAGTACCATTTTGACCGTAATCACTTATCTGAAACATAGCTATA